TCAAAAAGCACCAGCAGTTAGGAGTTAAAATTGTACAATACAGATAAAGGGTGTAATTACCCTGTAATTACATGGAATTCCATGGTATTTTATTTGAAATTACAACATAATTATATTTCTCTACAAATACTATAATGTAGGCACACAGAAAAAGGGGCAGCAAGTCTGAATTTAACAGGAAAGAAAGAAATAATTCCCTCTCCCTCTCCACCTCCTCCAGCTTTCCAGGCCTGTCGATAGATATAATCTCTCCAGCGTGTCCTAGGTCTGCCCCGGGCCTCCTCCCAGTGGGACATGCCTGGAACACCTCACCCTGGAGGCGCCCAGGAGGCATCCTTGTTAGATACCCGAACCACCTCAACTGGCTCCTTTCAATGTGGAGGAGCAGCGGCTCTACTCTGACCCCTTCCCAGATGGCTGAACTTCTCTCCCTACCTCTAAGGGAATGCTGAGGGACCAGACAAAGAGCAATTCAGAAGACCCCTATGAGTAGAACACCAAGAGAACAGTTCACCCTTCCCAGGATTGGGTTACCGGGTCAGGCCCGAAGCCAGGCCCGGGGAGGGTGCCCGAAAGCGAGCGACTGGTGGCCGGGCCTTAGTCCATAAGGCCTGGCCAGGCACACCCGAAAAAGGGACATGGGCCATTTTTCTGCAGGCCCACCACCCGCAGGAGGCGCATTGTGCAATGTGTGCCGGGCGGCCAGGAGTGGAGGCCCTGGCGGACCGATCCCTGGCTACCAAGACTAGCAAGACTAGCACATGGAACATGGAGCCATAAATTATTCTGTAAATAATTTTAAGTACTGTTTAAGTAATTTCAAGTACTGCATAACTAAGGGCTGCTACTAAAGGGTGAGAGTCAGGTCACCAGTCTGACACAGGGCTAACAGAGATAGCCCTGTGGGCTAATAGAGATAGACAAACATTCACATCTATGGGTAATTTAGAAACACCACTAACCCAGTGTTGCCAACTTAGCAACTTTGTTGCTATATTTAGAGAGTTTTCAGACCCCGTTAGCGACTTTTTTTTCTAAAAAGTGACTAGCGACAAATCTGGCGACTTTTGGTGGTGTTATTAGGAAGACTTAGGACCACGTGAAAGCACGTATCACTCTTACTCTCAACAAGCCCTGACTGTAGCACAATCAGATCTTCTTTTACTCTTACTTTTTGTGAATTACAAGGTTTAAAACTACTTAAAAACACACACACAAAGGGTAACTCTGCCAGAGTGCCTTTTTCAGGTCACTTTTGCTGGTACCAAGCCTAGAAAAAGGAGGTGGGTTGGAATTGTGACATTAAAAAACCACCAATTGCTAAAATGAAATTTAATTTGTAGTTCTAAATATATTCTAAATGCATTTATTGTGTTTTTTACTCACTTTATGTCTCTTCCACGATATTTCTCTCTCCTACAATGTAGGTTACAATAGACTATGTGCACCTTGGCATATGCTACTTCCGGTAGGGAAACTTCTATAGTGTGCTTCGTTTCCGGTGTGATATTCACGTCTTGTTTACGGTCGGGTTTTCCAAAAAAAGTCAACCAAATGGACGAATCAAGTGGCAATTTACATTTCTCAAGATGTCTTGGGCATTTACCGAATATATCTGTAGATGATGTTCATCGACTTGTCGATATTTTTCCCTTGCGCCTCAGAGCAAAAGAGAGAAGGGATTGAAATTTCTCAGTATTTGTATATAGAGTTCCCTCGTTTATCGCAGGTGTTATGTTCTAAACATAACCAGCGATAGGTGAAATCTGCGAAGTAGCCAGCTTTATTTTTTACAATTATTTTAGATGTTTTAAGGCTGTAAAACCGGTCACTACACACTTCATGCCTTTTCTCAGACAGGCATGAACAGTTTCATACTTTTCTCTCTTGTTTAAACACTCTCAAAGTTCACACCTTCATAGAAGAATAAGTAAAGTATTATAGAATGAAATGGAAAAAATATCTTAAATCCCTATCAGATGTAAGATGTAAAATGTTCACTACTTAAAATCACCTATCC